AAAAATGGGAGGAAGCATACATACACATTTCTCGTCCACCTGTTCGTGCAGTTGGGGTGAAGCAGCGAGAAGGAAGAACGAGACTGTAACGTCATATATAATTCGAAAAAAATGTGTGGTGCAGTTCACTTTGGCCAGCACTCACAGTCGGAGAGGCCTGATGAAACTGCTATCAGAATATCCAGTATACGGTGCATTTCTGCGACCATACATAATGCCCCTAGGCTGGCTACAAACGCAACCAAAAACCAGAGAAATGACAGCAGAAGCAAGAAGACAGAAGACTGAAACTCAGATCAGCTGCGCTAGCGAGAAATTTAAAAAAAAAAGATGGACCAAATCCTGAAAAGTAAGTAAGCTTGGCAGTTGAAATTAAACAAAAAAATTAAACGCCAATAAAAACAACGGATTAAAGCAATTTAGCTGGCTGGCTTCACAAACCAGCAAAACAAAATTTATAGAGCCGCAAACGAGTTGGCTGTTGGTTTTTGGTGCACTCAAACATTTGTACTACTTGAATATGCAGCAGTTACTTCTCAGTCCTTCATAATGACCATATAAAGTTACCTTGCTAGAGCACAGGTAGATGCAGTTACTTAAGACTGGATAACGCAACAGACGCCATCTGTGAAAGAAAACAAGGATTTACCCAAAGACCCATGACATCCGAAACCCGTAACTGCATGAGGAATTTGCATTGCTTTGCCGTAACTCATGAAGCTTTGTAAAAGAATAGTTAAATCAAGTTTTCAAATGAGTACCTCGATGAAAGCTTTGTGGATGACACCAGAAATCTTGAGAGCCTCATCACTGATCCCATTGAAATTGGCATTGTCGGTGAATGCATCCGTCATGCCAAGCTTTTTTAGAGATGCTACTAAATCAGCTCCTTTTTCCGTCTTGAATTTTGGTACTTGAATCTGAAACAAGCACAGCGTTTCGCCACTTCATGCTGTAGTGTCACTGAGCTAAATTTGTTAACAGCAGCACATACAGTTTCGTTAAAGCAGAGATATATCCGTGAGAAAAATTTCATTTGCTTGCCTCAACTTCCTCCCTGTCACTGCACTTTTCAATGTAAGCCAGCAACTGCTTCCCCGTTAGTTTTTGCTCGATTTCAACTAATCCGAACTGTTTCCTTGGAAGCACAATGTACATGTGCACTTCGTCATCAGCGTACGGCATTCCAAGCACCTGCACTTCACTGTCCTCATAATATGGGAAATACGTCATCATCTGCATCATTTCCACCTGCAGGAAAGATGAATATGGACAAAGCTCGAGCTAATTAAAAATTAAATATATTTAAAATGGAGAAGAAAGTGACTATTACCTCATATCTAACAATGAAAGTAAAGCCATCAAAATGAATTGAACAGAATAAGTCTTTGGTTGAAAAAGCACAAAAATTCAAGCGGGAGATCGGTCAATGATAAATAGCGTGGAAGAGTGATCATAGTGCTGGTTCCAATTAGTTTTTACCGTTACGTTGCGCTTATTACCTCAGTCTTGCTATCAGCTTACTTTCAAGCAATGGTGTAAAAGTATATTTCACTAAAATTTGAGAAAATATCAAATTGTAATTAAAAAGCTAAATAGGAATGTTTCGATGAAGTTGTATACTTCCTATTGAACGCTACAGCTGGACCTCATCAGTACGACG